ATTATCCAAAGGGGCCTTGCAGCTATTCTTGCCCCCGGTTACTGATCCAGTTTACGCGCGGCTGGTACGGATGTTCTTCTAGAACTTCCGACCATCTTCGCGTACCACAGCAAAGCTGGTCACTACTATAGATGGCCATCAGATTACTATCACTATGGACTCTCTAGCCTGCTCATGCCATTGTCCACATAGATGCCCTCCGGAGCTACAGGAGCTATATCCGAGGCTATACAGGCCTTCTTATGCCGACATGGCAGTATTTCTTATAGGTCACCATGCCGATGGCGAGACTTTTGCCACCCGCACCTTTCTTCCAGATGACCTATGGTTCTTCGATTCTGTTCTTTTTCGGAATATATATATGGCCGGGCACAAGATCCAGCGGTGAGGAGACTATCTCATAGCCCTCTACGCATACTATACAGGCCACTGGGTATCTATCCCTGTGCCCATCTGGAGCGTGATGAGGAAGCTATTCGACGAGTATATCAGCAAGGAGAAGCTCGGAAGGGCTAAGTCTCTCCCTTTTGGCCACCTCATCACCCAGATACTTATTGACTAGCGCTACCATTTTCATCCTCAGGAGCACCCTGAGAGAGGTTCCTATCACTTCTTGAAGAAAGACTGGGACAAGAGCTACAATGCCATCATCACTAGACTGCAGGACCCCGTAGTAGTGGCTGTAGAGGAGCTTGAGGCTGAGGAGGCAGAGGCAGCAGCTTAGGCAGCAGCAGCAGATCCCGCAACGGACCATGTACCAGTAGGTCCAGCTGCCGAGCATATAGACATTGATTTGGAGGGACCTACAGATGACGCAGAGCAGCACTCTCCAGCCAGGTCGCCAGTACATGAGGAGTAGCAGACTCAGGAGCTTTCTTCTGATTCATCCATACCTGAGGCTCCTAGTCAGACCCCCGGCTTTGGAGAGCGTCTTCAAGCTTTTGAGGATACAGTGGTTGCTATCAGAGCTGATACTGCTGCCATTCAAGCCGATGTTGTAGCCAACCGAGCTGATTTTGCTACATTCCGCATGGATGTTATGATTGCACTCCGAGACTTATCTCGCGATATCCGCGGAGCTCGCCCTGCTCGACCTGCCTCGTCCACCTGAGACTCCCAGTTCTTCTATCTTTTTATACTCTACCTCTGTGCTCTATACTTCATTTTTTTCACTGTATATTATTTGCAGCCGGTCTGTTGACTTTGATCTTTTGATGTACTCTATACTTTATTTTCTTTATATATGTTTTTGTTATAGATGTCATCTGTTATATTCTTATATTTGTATATTTGACTCTATCAGGTGCATCACAATGACTACAGTGAAAGAGAATGCTATACAATTTTCAAGACCACCCTTATACCCCTCTCACTGTTTTATTTCATTTACACTTGCATGTCCACTATGCACTGATTATCCCTTTTTGTTATCTGATGAGTTTATCCGAGTGCCAAATTTCAGGACCACAGTGAATCCCAAGTTTGGGGGGGCTATGCCACCTACTTCGGATACTTTAGTCCCGATTATTCTTTGCCTTAATTGCACTGGTATACTCTTTCCTTTTATTCTCTTTACACATTGAGGACATTGTGCCATTTAAGTTTAGGGGTAATGGTGTACTTTACAGTGTTAGCTTTAAACTTCACAATTTTGAGCATGCCTTGTGTATTTGAGAGATTTTCTATGATTGGTCCATATCTAGCTATGATTTTGATCTTTTGAGGACTATATTGCTTAAAATTTAAAAATTGCTTGACTTGAAAGTTCAATACTCCTTGTATGCCTTATGGATGCCATTTAGGAGTAAATTTTTCGAAAGATTGATATTTTGCTTGCATTTGTGGTCCGCATCATCTTAATTTTGTGATTGTTTTGAGATTCATTCTAGGATTCTACACTAGCACCGGCGCATACTAGCATTCATTTGTGGGGTACATGCTTTGTTGATTATTGAATTGGTTATATCCCAATTGGACTAGTAGTGCATTGAAAGCTTTCGTTCTTGATAAAGGTGGATAACAACCCCTTTTCACTAAGTAGCCGGGATTCTAGCCTCATCAAGTACTGAATTTCTCGCGCCGAAAGGTGGAAGGCCCAAACTCTAGGTTAATAATTGAACTTGCTTGAAAAAAAAAAAAAAAAAAAAAAAAGAAAGTTGCAAAAGTAATAAAAAGTGAGGACTTCTCCCAAAGGTGAGAAGTGGGAAATGATTAGATAGAGGTTGTCTTGATTTGTAACCTAGTTGATTTGAGCTTGTAAGTCCGTAGGGGTGTTTAAACACCTAGTGTCCTAAAGCTGTCTGGTTTGGGAGTCATTGACCTAACGCTCGACCTCATGAATCGCTAGAAAGTTTAATAGATCAACACATTGCACAATGCTTCCATCTTTGATCCAATAAATATATACATAATAATCATAATAATAATAATAATAGATCGAGTGAAAAGAATAAGCGCACCTAGAACAATAAAGCTTTAATAAAAGGTCCACTTTTTGTCTTGATGATCGGTACTAGATTTGTGTGCTAGTTTGAGGGTAAGGATGTGATTAATTATTTAGTTGGCTAAGATAGCAACATATTTGATGCCGGTCCACTCAAAAGAATTCTAGAGTTGTTTTGATTTGTATGATCATTTTCTTGATGTGTGGAGGACCATACTGGCTTGCTTGATGTTGAGATTTTGGGAGATTGCTCGGAAATGTTTGAAACATTGCATACTTGAGGTAGTTTTCTTTCAATGCTTGTTTGCAATATTGGTACCTATTTTGAAAGAATAAGCTTAACGTTTGTGGGTACCATTTCTGGAAACTCTCACGAGACTTCACTCATCCACTAGGGGTAACCTAGGGGTTTAAAAGGCTTGTTGCATATGCTAAGTGCAATCGTGTTCCCTATGAAAGTGGCGTTATCCATTCATTGTTTTCTAGTTCATAGTTGTATAGTTGTTCATTTCATTCGTTTACTTTATAGTTCATTGCTAGGGACTAGCAATATTTAAGTTTGGGGGTGTGATGAGCACTGAAAAGTGCGTATTTAAACCCCTTAAGTTTAGGCATTCTAGTACTTTTATCTATTTTACTTTACCGTTTTAGATTGAATTCGTATTATTTCCATTTTCAGGCACTTATCCCGAAAATAAGCTAACTCAGCCAAATAAGAACAGAAATGAAGCAATTCTGGAATAAATCAAAGAAAGGAGCCAAGTGGAAGCAAAAGGAAGAAAAGGGTAGAAATCAACATCTTCGATCGATCTCAGATCAAAGTTTGATCGATCCAACATGATCGATCTCAGCACTTCAACATGGATCAGAGCCATGATGACATTTTCAGAGATCCCAAAAGTTCAATCGATCCAACATCATTCTTCATTCGATCGAACTGCTTTGTTTTTATCCAAATGATTGATCTTATCTAGTTGTACCACCCTACCAACCACTTTTGTCCTTTTCCTAAAAATATTTTCAAAATATCTCAAATTTGTCTTTATCCAAAAAGCGCCACCAGTGAGGATCGATCCAGCCTAAGTTCGATAGATCTTAGCCATATTCGATCGATCCAAGTCCAAGGTTCGTTCGATCGAACTTCCTCTAGTGCGAAAAAGTTAAATTTCTAGCTCATTGAAAGTTGTCCTTTATCCAATCATTGGGGAATATTTTGTGTACGACCTCAACTCATTTTGGGTGTCATTTGATCTACCTATATAAGGATAAGGATTACTTTTTACAAGAGAGGACCTAATACCATAGGATATCATCTCATACCTTGTAAGAACTCTCGGAGAGCAAGCTTAGAGGAGGAGGAGGCTAGAGACACAATTGGAGACTCTTCATCAACCAAGGAGCAAATCTCTACCATGTAGTTAGCCCTTGAGGGTTGGAGAAGCACCACCATGAGTGGCTAGACATCCTCTTGGGGCTAGAGTTAGCCCCAAGCATGCTTTCTACATCTTAATTTTGTGTATTATTGAGAGATTAGTGTTGTAATACATGTTTTGACACTATTATATATATAGATCTTTTTTATTCAATGATTTATGTGGTTTAATGCTTCTAATTGATCATTTCATTCTATCCATATGTTTATGTATGATAGAATAAATGTTCATGTGTTTGTCTCTATTTCTTGTGTTATTGATGCATGTCTATGTGTATTAATGCCTTGGATCTAGAGATTGTCAAAACATTGTGCTTAAAAGAATGCTCTTGTGATTTTCTAGATGGTCCATGCTCATTTCTTGATGGATTATGCCTCTCCCTTAGCTTAATTAGTTTAATTTCATGTCATTAGCTTAATTATAATGTAGTGGTAGCATGGTTGTTAGATAGGAGGACAATCCATGCTTGTTGTTTGATGTTCCATACTTTTAAATACAAGTAGCATATGTTTCTAACCTTGTGGTGTATTTGGCTTGTGAGCTTAATGAAAGGATTAATGACTTGCAAGATATATTGTGTTTTTCATATGCTATTTAGACAATATATACTTAATTGCTAGATATATTGTGTTTTTCACATGTTGATTAGACAATGTATGCTTAATTGGTCACCCTTGCTAATTGAATCAACCAAACACACACACACACACATCAATATTGCAACACACATTTCCCTCTTTAGTCACTAGTTAAGGGTGTAGAAAAGTATTGCTCAGTGGTGACCTCTAAACCCCAAGATCTCTCTCTTTCTTACTTACTCTTTATTGCATTCAATTATTTAGTTTAATTTGCTCTTTAGTATAATCAACCAACCAACCATTTGTTTGATCATTCGACCTACTAACCCTAATAGCGATTCCACAACCAAATTCGACTCCAATCCCTTGGGACGATCCCTAGTCACCCTAACTATATTTTTAGTGAAAGTAGTAGTGGCTTTTATAAATGTAAAACTTGGCCCTCGCCTTAATACACACTCCTCTTAAGCTTGATGTGTGGTAGGACGACACAACTGTCGTCAACAACTTTACCCAAGGAAAGAGGAAAAAGAAGAACTTACTAACCTATCCTCAGTTGGTAATAACTGTTCAAGAAAGTGAAAACAACCATGTAAAGTGGACTACATCTGCACACTAACACCAAAAATTAGCAAATGAAAGAACAACAAACAAGCATAACTTTTCATTAGTTCCTAAGTTCTTCCAAATCTGTAATTTCACTTGCAATAAATCTACAATTTCACTTTCAATTTTGAAACCCTATAATATATATTTGCATAAAAAAAAATAAAAAAAATAAAGGTCATGAGCTTAGTTGGAACCTAATATGGTAAAACCTTATTTGTTGACAAATTGCCACTCTTGAGATTTTACTCATTTTTAAAAAAAATTAGTAACTAGAATTTTTTAAGTAGTTTTGCCTACAAGTCAACCCAAAAACATAACTATCAACAATGATGGGAAGACATAATTGTTGATAGCAGCATTTAAGAAGTCCCAATCACTGGCAAATGCTTAAGTTTTTTAAGACTTATGTGTAGCTAGGCCAGCAATGTATTTGGAAGTGAACAAATAAACGAATAGAAGTACCTCTTCTACAATAAGGGTAATGTTGGGATGAGTTTGTAAAGCACACTCTAATGTAATGTGTGAAGTAGCACGTCCCATAAGCCGTACAGCTGCAAACAATTACAGATTTAAATATCACATTTGCTTAGACTCTATGAAAAAAGCAAAAATGTAAATCGCACAAAAAAGAGTGAAAAAAATAAAGAGTTGAAAGGATAATAAATTCCTGTTAAAAAATACTGAAAATAACAGATTATGGATAGCTTAGCATGAAAAATTATCAATGTCAAGAGAAAGCAAGTACGAAATGTTAAGAATCAAGAATTTATATGTTCACAGAATGAGCTGTGCTGAAATGAAAATTATGAGATATAAGTCTGTTTAGACAAGAAAAAATAAAATTTGAGATTTATGCATCCTTGAGAAGGCACAGATGGTAAGGAATAGTATGATAAGCAAAAGTTGGATGAGAAAGTTTCAACATATACAATAAAGATCAATGACTAAGACTAGAGAATTATGTTGCTTATGTTGACAAACTATAGGAACAACAAGAAGAAAAAAAAATTGCAAGGCTTGGATTTATGAGGAAACATGGCAGACATATATTCAATATGGCATTGCCCAAATAAATGATTGAATAAGCTTTATGTAGCCTACTCCCTACATGTTTTTATTTATTACAGAAACCACGTCGGGCTGGAATCCAAGACATTTAGGTTGGACACTGCAGCCAGATACCACTCACACTACTAGCTTGGAACTTAATTATAAGGGTAATTGCATGTTCATTTGTTCCAATTCCAAAAACATATTTGGGGCATTTCACTCAAGAATTTGGAGGGGGGAAAAAAAATATGACACAGAAACCAGAATGTAGGGAAATCAATGAACTGGATGATTCTGTATCTAATATGGATATAAAAAAAAAAATGCATGCAAAACTGGAAAATAAGGGATTTTCACAACAACAAAAAAAAAAAACAAATTGATTATTTAGCACCGTATAAGTTACAATAGTCACAAGGAGATTTAGTCTCCAAAAAAAAAAAAAAAAAAAATTAAATTCAATAAAACACTCTTAATCAAAAAATCAAAACTAATAGATACATATATAGAAAGAGATAGACGAACCCTGATTTTTTGCTGCAAATTGATGTGTATAGCCGTCTGAAATTCGAAGAAATTGTGGCTCCAAATGGTTGTTTCTCGTGTCCAAACCAGAGAGAGAACTTGAATAGAGAGGCGAACTAGAGAGATAACTCGAATAGGGAGACTATATCGAATCTACAACATCATCTTGTCTGCATCTTTTTCATCTAAAGAGAGAGAGCAGAGAGATAAAACTAGGGCTTCGACGCGACAGAAAGAGCAGAGAAAGAAAGCTAGGGCTTAGACGAGAGAGAGAGAGCAGAGAGAGAAAGCTAGGGCTTAGATGCAAGAGAGAGAGCAGAGAGAGAAAGCGGGCTTTGACGCGAGAAAGAGAGAACAGAGAGAGAAATCTAGGGCTTAGACGAGAGAGAGAGAGAGAGGAGAGAGCGGAGTTGTGTAGAGTTGGACGGTTGACAAATACTACATCGTTTCATAAGGTAAGGTAAGACTAATTTTTCATTATGTTTTCTATTAAAAATAATTATTTATTTGGCGCTAAGTTAATTCCCGCCAGCGGCACGAAGGGGGGAAAATTTTATTTTGTAAAATAGTATTGTTTATCTACGGGAAAAAAAAAAAAAAAAGCCTCCTTAAATGTGAAACTTATTTACGGGACAAAAAAGTCGTCACGGGCTTTTAATACATCGTAAAAAAAATTGGCGCTAAATTTCCCGCCAACGGCACGGAGGGGGGAAATTTTTTTTGGCTTTAAATGTTTTTTACCTTATCTACAGGGCAAAAAAGGCGCCTTAAATGTAAAATTTATTCACGGCCCCTTCAATACATGGTAAAAGAACTTAAGTTTATTTTTATATATATATATTTTTAACTAATTTTATTAATTGGTTATTTACAGGAAAAAAAAAAGGCCTTAAATGAGTGATTTCATCTTGAAAATTTATTAGTTGATTTTTTTTCTTTTTTCTTTTTTTTTTTTTGTTGGAGATGGAGATTGGATTTCATGAAAGTAATCACAGTGATTTCTTAGATTTAGTGATCGTTGAGCATGTAACCGAGCTTGTCAAAACACTACTGATCGGAGCTCGAATTAGGCTAGGCCAAGCTCGCCTGAGCACGAGTTGAGGCTGGCATGGTTCCGTTCATTTCCTGTCCTTTAGAGGAGGAGACTAGTATGTACTCAAAAGAGTTCAATTCTATTTTAACAGTAAAGAATGAAACTTTAGGAGGAAGATTTTAGCCAAAAAGTCAAATACTTTTCCTGTTTCCATTTACTAGACCTCAAACACTCGAATTGCTGGGTTGAGTAATGTTTTTTAGGGCCTTTAAAGTAATCACAGAAGAGTATTTAGAAATTGACAGAGTGAGGGCTATACATAAATTAGAAGACAAAAATAAATAATTTACTTTACACAAAAGTTAATTATATTTAGTTTATTGTTATATATATATATATATATATATATATATATATATATATGCAAAAGATATATATGCAAAAGATATATATATGCAAAATGGATCGATAGATTAAAGATTATAAGTAAAACTGAAACAAGGTCGGTTTGAACAGACTTACAGAAAACTTTCTTTATTTAATTGTCCAGGCTATTACAGAGAAATATTACAAAAGAGAGAAAAAAAAATTGAAAGATACATTGAAGGGAAACATTGCCCTCTATTTATACATAAAATGGACTTGAAATTAATATTTTGAAGTCCGCATAGTGCATGGGGTCGTGTGCTCGAATAATACAGTCGGTCGGCCCACCACTAAGTGCTGTCTCCTTATCGGATGGAAAGTAGACATCTGATGAAGGAAATACTGTTGAATCAAAGACTTTTTTTTTTTTTTTTTTTTTTTTTTTTTCAGACAAGTTCTTTGTCTTCTTCTGTCGGCAGGATAAGAGGAATCTTTACTTTTTGGGTGGATTCATCTTGTCCTTCAAATGTCCTGTGAGAGAGTCCCAATAGTCTGCTATTGAAATCTCGTCTTCAGAATTCAGATCTTCATTGGGATCTTGTGCATAACCTGCTAGACAAGAAAACTGATTTCCGTCTTGACTGGTCTGGCTAGAGACTGATACCATGGATGCATCATCCCTTCCTGTAGGGGTAGAGGATTCAAAAGATTTAACAAATTTATTCCTCATAAAATCCATGCATTTAACCATTAAATCAGCTTCGGTAATTAATGGTTGTTGTTTTCTGATCATATCTTTAACAAGTTCAAATGGGTTAAAGATTTCAGGTTCGGGAATAGTTAACTTTGGAATCTTATCCATATATTCCATTGTTTTCTTTCTGATCTGATGGAGGAGGGCTTGGATAGGTTCTTGAGTCATGCCTGACCACCATCTGTAATAAAAGATCCTCTGGAGGACCGGTAACTTGTCAGTGGTATAACCACATTGGAAATCCCATTTCCAAATCCAAGGGATTCCAAATTCAGTAAAGAACAATAGGGTGGATTTCTCTACAGGAATATTATCCTGTCCTCGTAATTGAGGATGAAATTGTTGCCATGGCAAATATAATTGACTGATTGATTCTGGCAACATATCCAGATCAGGGCCAAATATAGCCCACCAGGGTATAACCCAGTTTGGGAAATCAGCCTTGACTGATTGAGGGCATATCTTGAGGAACCAAGAATGCTTATGCTTCGGATTTTGATAAAAGAACGAATATGTCCAAGCTGAGATATAATCCCAATAATTATAACTGTGACCATAGGATATTTTCCTTGGCAAATTTGGATTTAATCCCCAGTCACTAGGCCGTATAAGCCTCTTAAAGATAGCTTTACTATAAGTAAGAGGACTATCTTTGGAGTTCGGAAATTGCTTCGTGTGGTTGATTTCCACAGAGGAAGTTTCAGTAAGGATGGCTTCATAGATATATCTATGGCGACCATCTGGTGCAGCATATTGTTGAGTTTGGAAATATCTGGATTTTACTTCCCAAGGATCTGGCATCCATTGCTCATCTTGAGAATCCAGTACCAATACTGTTTGAATATACCTTTGATTAGGTATCCATGGAGTTTCTTGTTCAAGAACCTCTTTCATGGTTGGTTTCTGTTGGTGTTGCTGGGAACTACTGCTTCCTTTAGAAGGAGTTTTGAGCAGATCAGCAACATGCTCCAAATATGGAAACTGATCATTAGTGAGTGGTATAACCACTTTGGCCTTAGCCTTGTTTTTGCCACGAGCCTTTGGAGTATTACCCCGGCCCTGCCCATGGGGGGGCTGATTCATGAACCCTGCAAGAATTCACGAGTTAGAAAATCAGGTAAAGAATTAGAACTGCCTTTAATATATTCGATAGAAAAATCAAAAGCAGATAAATCAGCTTGCCAACCAGCAAATATCTGTTTGGAAACTAAATTCTTGACATCTTTTTCCAGTACTTGTTTAGCAGCACTACAATCAATGCGTAACAAGAATTTCTGATTGATTAAATCATCTTGGAATTTATAAATGCATTTAACCAAAGAAAGAATTTCCTTTTTTATGGTTGAATAATTTAATTGTGCATTTTTCCAAGTTCCTGAAGTGAAGCGAACAAGCTCCTCTGTTCCTGTATTTGGATTTTTCTGTTTAAGAATACCACCGTATCTGATATTGGAGGCATCTGTTTCCACAATTTTGAACCATGAAGAATTGGCTAGAGCTAAGCAAGGAATTTGTTTGGCTCTGAGTTTAATCTTCTGGACTGCTTTGGTGTGATCCAACGTCCATGGGGAAGGAGATTTCCTTAACCTGGTGTACAAAATTGCGGTGTCCTGTGCAAGATTTCTGTAGTGACCTCGAATATAATTCAAGCTACCCAGAAATCTTTGAAGTTGAGTTTTATCCTTGATTTCATCTGGAAATTTAGAAGCAAACTCAATACTGCGATTAATAGGTCTAATTTTCCCATCACAAATTTCATGACCAAGAAATCGGACCTTAGTTAAAAACAATTTTAGTTTAGGAGCAGAAACTACTAAACCACTTCGGTAAATGACATCTTTGAAAATTTTCAAGTGTTTATAATGCTGATCGATTGATTTTGAGTATATGAGAATATCATCAATATAAACAATAGAAAATTCGGTAAACGGATTAAATATGTCATTCAAAATATGTTGAAATTCTGAAGGGGCATTTTTTAACCCAAATGGCATTACTGTCCATTCATACTGTCCGAAAGGTACACAAAAGGCTGTTTTGTACCTGTCTTCTTCTGCAATCTGTACCTGGTAATATCCAGATTTAAGATCAAATTTCGAAAAGATTACCGCAGATTGTAACCTATCTAACAGATCTTTGATGTTGGGAATTGGGTATCGGATCCAACTTAAAGCAAGATTAAGTGGCCGATAATCAATAACCAATCGAGGAATTCCTCGTTCTTTTTCAGCATTTTTATTGACATAAAAAGCACTGTAACTCCAGGAGGAGTAGCTAGTAGTGACAAGCTTCTTAGCCATTAAAGAGCTGATTTCAGTTTTACATAATTCCAAGTAGTCAGCCTTCATGTGGCTGGGACTAGCTTTAGAAGGAATCATGCTATCAGTAAACCCCTTTACATAGGGTAAAGAAACAATATGCTTCTTTCTAGCCCAAAAAGCATTAGGAATCTCACTACAGATTTCTTTTAGAAAGTTCTGCCGTAGTGACTCAATTTTCTTTTGCTCAATGGGTTGTACCAATCTTTGATTAATTGCTAAGGAGGATACCTCCTTTTGCAAATAATTCAGTTGCTTTTCCTTAAAGATAATGTTATCTTTAAGAGCATTGATATGCTTATTTACTGGTGGGGTCAGAAACTGGAAAGTAATTGTCTGACCATGTAAATTAGAGCATATTCCATGAGAATCAATTTTCTCAATTGGCATAATCAAAGCTAAAAAGGGAGTGCCCAAAATAACTTGTTGTGCCAAGTTTCTGATGAGTAAGAAAGTAGATGGTAGACAAATACCTTATTTACAAATAAAAACATGATTTAGTTTATACTTAATCTGCATCTTACCTCCACTTGCACTGGTAATACCTTGAGTGGTTTTCTCAAAATATTGAGTAGGTACCAATCCTTCCTGTATGCAGTTCATGTCTGCACCACTATCAACTAAGGCAATTGCATTAGTGATTGTGTACTCCTGATTAATTACCAAATTGATAGAAATATACCATTTTTGGTAAGTAACTTGATTCAAGAGTTGAAGATAATTATTTCCTTCTGCTGGAGGGACTTCATCATTGGATGATGCAGATGGAATTGCAGATTTTGCTTTTAAAAGAGTAATTTCCAAATCCATCGTAGTCTGACGAGACTTTAATTGACGAATTTCTTCTTTTAAAAGATTAATCTCCATTCTGAGATCAGGGAGACTGGCGGGACGAGAATTTTGTCCTTGGTGTTTTAATCTGCGTAGAACTTCTTTCATGCTGTAATGATTCTC